GACAGGGGAGCCTGGGAGCAAAGTTTGTAGAGGAATTAAGGAATGTTTTTATCAGCTTCTTAGTACCTATCATAGATAGTTTTCAATCTATAAATCCTCAGCTGAGTGCTTATTATGGTCCAGTGACTGGGAGAGACTGGAGATGAACCAGTCATTTTAAGAATGTACATGGAGCTGGGTACTGGTAGCTCACACCTGTAATCCTAGTTACTTGGAAGGCTACAATTAGGGAGATGGCTGTTTTGAGGACAGCCCCACGAAAATAGTTCTAGAGACTGTCTCCAAAATAACCAGGGCAAAATGAACTTGAGGTGTGGCTCAAATGCCTGCTTTGCAAGAGCAAAGCCCTGAGTTCAAACCCTACTCCCACAAAAAAAAAACACCCTACACAGAGATAGAATGTATAGTGCAGTGACTTATATACCTCACGACTCTACATGTATGTGTGTACATATATAAAAATTGAAAGTTTCACAAAGCAGTATGTATCCTCACTATATGAATGTGTTGTTATATGGTCTACTCTGTTCCATTTCATAATTTTTTAAAAAGCACTAAACTTGACCTAGGTACAAATTGTGACCTACAGGTTTGTTTGTTTGTTTTTAAGGCAGTGGCACAGTGCTTAAATTGACGCCAAATTATCTGGGTTCAAATGCCAGCTTTGCCTCTTCCTAACAGTAAAACTGATGGTAGATTACATAACTTCTGTGACTTAGTTTCCCTATCTGTAAATATGAATATTCATACCTACTTTGTATGGCTGTTGTAATGATGTCACTGTTGTTATCCACATATTTGAATTTTACTAGAAGAGACTGGCAGAATGTAAACAGATGCAGTATTACAGCTTGTTCATAAGTGTTGTGAAGAAAACAAAAACAGAGTAAAAAGAATGGGATCAGAAACCTCTCAGAGGAGGCAAAATTTAAACTGAAGGGCTAGTGGAGTGGCTCAAGCAGTAGAGCACCTAACTAGCATGAGGCCCCAAGTTCAACCCCAATAAGTAAGTAAATAAGTAAAAAAAAAAAAACTGAAACAAGGGATGAGAAGTAACAGGCTATGGGACAAGTTCTCCCCTAAAATGAAAGGAGCATGGCACTAAGGATTGAAAGAGGAGGTATGAAGTGAGGGGTGAGAAGGCCTAGGAGGGTAGCGGCATGTAACGTGAGTAGAAATGAGGTTAGAAGGGAACTAGGCAAACCTGCAGGAGCTTCTGGATTGTGAGAGTTTGAATTTGTTTTGTTGCTGTTGTTTTGTTTTCTGAGAACAGGGTCTTGCTATGTAGCCCAGATTGGCCTCAAACTTGAAATCCTCGTGCCTCAACCCCCGGAGGGTTATAGATATACACTATCACACCGGGTTCAGTTTGAACTTACCCGAGCAATGGAAAACCGAGGAGTGACTTTATACCCTTTGCAGCAGAATGGAGAAAGGGTTAGTAAGCAGTGGTGAAATGCAAACGCCACCAAGAAATTGTGTTCTGCCAGGAATGGTACAGTGGTGGTCAGATTCATGCACAGCAGTGTATGCGACAGTGATTGAGAAACATCTGGGAATGTAATGCGTAGAACTTGTGATCTAATGGGTGTGGGAAGTCAGTGAGATAAGAAATTTTTAATTTCTGAGCCAGACGCCAGTGGCTCACACCTATATCCTAGCTACTCAGGAGGCAGAGATTAGGAGGATGGAGGTTCGACACCAGCCTGGGCAAATAGTTCTCAAGACCCTATCTCAAAAAAACCCTTCACAAAAAAAGGCTGGTGGAGTGGCTCAAGATGTAGGCACTAAGTTCAAACCCCAGCACTGCAAAAAAAAAAAAAGGAAAAGAGAAAGTTTTTGTCTTTATTTGCACCACTGAGGATGAAACCCAGCCCTTCATGCTAGACAAGCACTGAACCACAGAACTACATTCCCTAGCCCAAAATGCTTTTATACTGGATGTGTTGTAAATGTGGATGACTGTACTTATTACTGAGTAACTGCTTGGTTCCAAGGCAGCGATAAGGATGGGTGAAAATCAGTTAGGAAACAACTCCAGGTTGTGGGTTATCTGGGTCAGGAGTCAGCAAACCGTGGCCCAAGGCCCATCCTGCCCACCACCCGTTTTTAGAGAGGCTCAAGCCAAGAACTGTTTACATCTTTCTCTTCTTTAGTGGTGGTTATGACCCAGCTCATGGGCCTGCTAGCGAGTGCTTCTGAAAGGAATATTTTGTGACACATGACAAGTACACACAATTCAAATTTCAGTTCCTTGAGTTAAATGTTCCTGGAACACTGCCATGATCACTCCTTAGGTAGTCTGTGACACGTTCACACTACAGTAGAGTTGAGTGGCTGCAACAGAGACCTTATGTGGTAGTTACCACCTTATGTTGCTGCAAAAGGAATCAACTGGAACTCCACAAATGATGAAGCTGTTCAGTTAAAAGCATTTACTTTTGGATTGATACCAGTATTCAGCAGTACCTGTCTGTGTAGACATTTTCAAAGCTAAAGTATGTGAGTGTCATGACAAATCAGGGCTGGCACATCTATTTGCAGTTGATAGGGAACAAAAATTTGAACCGTTTGATGAATTATCCCACTTCAGAAGGAATCCCATTTTTCTAATTAGTAGGCTTACATTAGAAACAACTGCATTCATTATGCTTATTGCACTTTGAACTTTACCAATAAAAATTTGGAAATTATTTCTTATATAGGTAGCTAATGTATTTAATTTCGCCTCTCAGCTGCAATACCCAAATATTCGGCATTTGGCCCTCTACAAAAAGCCTGGCAGCCAGATGTGCATGTCTTTTCTTTTTTTGGTGGGACTGGGGTTTGAACTCAGGGCTTCCTGCTTGCAAAGCAGGTGCTCTACCCCTTGAGCCACACCACTAGTCCCTTTTGCTCTGGTTATTTTGGAGAGGCAATTTTGTGAACTATTTGCCCAGGCTGGCTTCAAACTGCAATTCTCCTGAGACTTCAGCCTCCCACATAGCTGGGATTACAGGCGTGAGTACTGGCATCTGGCTTCCTTGTTAAGTCTTAACACAGGCTGTACATTTAAATCACCTGGGGATCTTTGGGGAAAAAAAAGTATATATAGGGGCCTCACTCTTAAAGACTTTATTGGTCTTAAGTGGAACTGGATACCGTTTTCTCTTTTGGATCCACTTTGTTATGACACATCTTTCCTTCATATGGACAAATTCCTCTTTAGCATATATTCATAGCACAGTGATTTTCCATACATACAAACAACGAACAACAATCACGTTCACCTCAACATTACTTTTTGTTGGGGTTTGAACTCAGGGCCCACACCTCAAGCCACTCCACCTACCCTTTTTGTTTTGTGATGGGTATTTTTGAAATGGGGTCTCGAGAACTATTTGCCCAAGCAGGCTTGAAGCCACGATCCTCCTGATCACTGCCTCCTGAATAGCTGGGATTACAGGCATGAGCCACAGGCACCTAGCTACGTATTACTTTCTTAATCTCCTCCCCCCTTGGAAACAGGTTTTCCCTTTGTGACCCAGAATTGCCTGGAGCTCTTGATCCTCCTTTCTCTGCCTCCCAAGTACTGGGGTACCTATACATTTCTAAAAGCAACTTCCTAAGCTTAAGAAAGAAGACTTAGGCCAAGTACAGTGGCTTATGCCTGTAATCCTAGCTACTTAGGAGGCAGAAATCAGAGGATTGTGGTTCAAGGTTAGCCAGGCATAAATGCAAGACCCTGTTTGAAAAATAAAGCAACAGGAAGGTGGTATGGATCAAGCTGTAGAATGCTGGCTTTGCAAGTGCAAAGCCCTGGATCAAATCCCAGTTCCACCAAAAGAAAAATAACTAAAGCAAAAAGAGTTGGGAGCAAGTGGTAGAGCATTTGCCTAGCAAGCCCAACACCCTAAGTTCAAATCCTAGTATTGCCAAAAAAAAAAAAATCTTCTACAGCCCTATTGCTCAGATGTACTTTTGTTTGGCCTGCCATTTTTCCAAACCCAGTTTTTATGGCAGCCTCTGCCCAAGTACATCCTTTGGTTAAGTGATACCTCTAGGTTTTAACTAACTATCTGCAGTCTATTTTTATAAATGTAATCATATCCAAGACTTAGTTAACATTCAGGTAAGGATGGTGTCAGAATGCTTGTTTTCCTCAGATCAGATCAAACACATTTTGGGAAAAAGTTGGCTCTTAGAAATACTGCCTGTTCTGTTTGGCCCCTCCTTATTTCTGCCTTACCCTGTGGGAAAACGCTAAGGTGAACACAGCTCAGGCTTGTGTACCGTAACAATGGTGACATGCCCCTTTATGTGAATAATATCTCTTGAAAAAACCCAAATGACTTTTGAAGACTTTTATTATCAAATATAAAATATTTGGAAGTGATTTTTAAAAATTCAGTCACATTTATGAGAGTAAGCACCACACTTAAAAGATACATTCATAAAACAATCTAAAATGCATATGTCAAAATTATTTAATGGTAATTACAACACTAGCAGAGTAAGAAATTCAGAAACTTTTCCAACCACAGACCTCCACTGGGGATTTCAGGCTTAGATGTCTTCAGGGCTGAGCAAGCAATACAAAGTAGAGAAGTAGTCTGGGGAGAGGGAATCAGGGCAAACTTGAGGTACATGCCCTTGCTAAAGACTTTCTAAATAACAGTATACTCCAAACAAAACTGGGTCCAACCAGCCTGTGTGGGCCACCGGCTTGCAGCTCCAATCTGAATGAGTTCTAGCATTTAGGAGCCTAATCCTTAAAATAGTAGAAAAATGACAGACAGCACTTTTATAGTACATATGTATATGTATCTCAAAAGTCTATGTAATATATATGTGTGTGTGTGTGTTGAAAATACTAAGGTATTATTTTAGGGACACTAGAGTTAAAAAAAAAAACTGTGAAAAAAGGTATTTTGCTTTCTGAATTAATCAATCCAGGGAGTTTTGAGAATATGTTCTTCAAATATCTGGTTAAGATAAAATTTTTAAAAAAGTAACCTCTCACATTTTATTTTGGGAAAAATAGTAATTGAAACTGTATCAAAATCTCATTCTTTTACCAATAGAAAAGTACACACCATAGTTTGTTATTGCTTAATAAGAAGTGTTTATGTGGAAAGAATGAAGTGTTTGTTTGTTAGTCCTTCCAAAACTGTTGTCCAAAAAGCATTCAGTAATACCACCTTACTATATATACAATATAAAAAAGTCATTGCAGTTCAGTTCACAGTAAGTTCTACTTTATCCATAAGGTGTATTTGTGGAAGAACTTCAGTAGGTTTTGTACTTTTACTTAAAACTAAAGGTTCTGTTCTGAATATGCAGAACTGCTATAGCCCTAGTAGCTGTATAATGTTGGCTTGTTATACCAAAGCAGTTTCAAAGACGTTACTATTTGGCTGTCAATAACTTCACATTAATCATTTTAAAATAGCAGTAAAAAATTAGGATGATGGAGGCATTGGTGACAAATTTTTAAAAGGCTGCAAAGGCACTTATATTCCACATGTCCTTACTACACTACTAACACATATTTTAAATAATTCATGAACACAGATTTCAAACAAATAAAACCCAAATACACTGAACTCTAAACCTTCACACAATACTCCAAAATATTTTGTTGCCTTAAGCATTTTAGCTGTCAATTAAAGAAAGCACCGAATCTAGCCGTAAAACACCTCATTTAAAAGTAGTATATAAAACTTTGAAGCCTTTCTGTAAAATAAAGTTTATATGGGAGAAATCAACCTCATACATGGCTATTAAATTCTGAAATTAAGAAGCCAGAGGTGTTAAGTACTTGGGCAAAAGTCAGATTCTTAGCAAATAGAAGAATAAGTACCCAAGAAATTTAGACACAGAATCCATCAATGAATGCAAAGATCTTTCATTATTTCCACTTTTTAAAACTCGTAAGTAGGGGAAATGTGTTTGGCAATGAGGGGCTTTAAGCCTGCCGGATAAGCACTCCACTGAGCTACATCCCCACTTGGGATTTTTCTTCCAACCTGTCTTTGATAGTAATTTAAAGTCTAGCCCAGTCTAAATATTTATCTTATCTACATTTCAACATTCATTTTAATTATTAAAAGCACTTATCTTCAAGCACTCAAGATTTTTTAGAATTCAAAGTCACTACTGATTTTGCTCATTGTAAGTATTTCTATGTCAGAAAATTAAAGTTGAAAGTAGATTATGAATTCATCACATATGAACACAAACACATTTTCAAATCAAGTTAGTAGCAGAAATGTCATAAAGGTGTATACAGTACAGGCTGATGTACTACAATCTTCGTTTTAGCAATTCCATTAAAAACCAACAGGGGTTCTAGGAATAAATTTACTGTCAGTTAATAAATTATAATTAAAAATGTAAAGTTTTCATAAATAGTAACAACAGAATAAAGCATATGGGATTCTCACAAACAGTAACAAAACACTTCACAATTAGGTAATTCAGTTTTTAAGTTATTGAAATGTATTTAACATTCTGAATTCCAGAGTAAGTTGGATATACAGTACTGGATATACAGTACTGCTTGTTCATATGGTCACAGGATGAAAATTCCTCTTGTAGGAAATGGGATGGCTGCACTGTTTTACAACAGTGATCCAATTAGTTAGCGTATTTATGGAGGAAGCGTTCAAATGCATCATAGATGGCTTGTCTAAAATGAAAAATGAAATAAGTAATTAGCAAAGGGAGGGGGGAGACAGCACCTCTACTGTATCCTAAAATCACCTGTGGCTTGCAATGCAATCTGACAGCAGATTAATAAAGGCAGGCACTTTTGGGGATGTTGGGTACATTAACTTCACCGCTGCTGGAGAAGCTCAACACTTCCAGTTCATGAAGGTCTGAGAGAAAACAATGTGCTTTTTGTCACATAACTTTTCAGAATGCGGGATCCAATCTGTTTCACAGATTTTGACATAGACGTTTCTTGTTTCCCAAGAACAGCTCCTGGCAGCCAAACTTAAAAGCCTTGGTTCCTACAATAACTTCACCAAGTATTTAATATTTTATTTGGAAAGTGATAGCTATTGTTTTGGTGCTCCACAAAACATTTCTTAAAGCTTATTTGCTGAGTGCACCATGTGATGTTTGCCTGCTGGACAGTCCCCACCACCTGGCCTGGGAGTTAGTTCTGGGAACTTGGTCTGGTAGAATGAACCTGAACTTGTTTTATTTCCCGAAGTCTAATAGTTGCAATCTGTGCTTGTATTCATGGTAGGAAGAGGGTTAAGAAAGGTACCCATATGTCTGTTTTGGGTTGGTACAGGGTTTGAACTTAGGGCTTTGTGTTTGCAAAGCAGGTGCTGTGTTGCTTTAAGCTACATCTCCAGGCCATTTTGCTCTAGTTTAGAGATGGGGTCTTTTGAAGTATTTGTCCCTACTGGCCTCAAACCTTGGTCCTCCTAATCTGAGCCTCCCAAGTTGCCAAGATATATCTTTTTAAATCATTTGAAAAGTCTTAATTACAATCAGCTCTAAATAATCCAAATACTGGATCATATAAAGTAGTGGCCTATTTTACATTTGGTGTGTAAAAAGACTGGATTTGAAAAAATTCTATTTTAATGGCATCTAAATTCCATTAGGGCTGGTGGAGCAGCTCAAGTGGTGGAGCAAGCATGAAACCCTGAGTTCAAACCCCACTACTGCCAAAAACAAACAGCAGCAAAAACCCATGTAGTAAAAGTCCACTAGATTTCGATGTAAAAAGGAGGAGAGGCAAAATAGTGTAGTAGTGACTCCCCTGAGGAACTTATTTAATCTGTTTTTTTCCCCTTATTATGTGTAAAAAAGATAATAACACATGAAGCAATTGTCCTGAAACAGGCAACATTAATCTCGTTCCCAAGGAAGCCTTCAAATGAGCATTTCTGAGTTTTTACTCTTTGATTATACCCACTCTTCCGATGCCTTTCGGCTTGGTTTCAAGTCAGTGACCTGCTGATAAGGCAGCATGTGTGTCCTCTGCATGCACACCTGTAAACAACTTCAGGTTCTCCTTAACAACCTAAGCCATCTACTGCTCATGGTGGTGTTCATGTGGTTCAGTTTGCTGTGCCAGTGTCACTGGAGTATCCGGTAGGTGGCCTGCTCAATTACCAACTGACAGGCACTTGAATGCTGAATAAACACAAGTTTTTCAAATCATGCCATAAAAGAATGGCTAAGGGCTGGGGGCAGGGCTCAAATGGCTAAGCGCCTATCTAGCAAGAAATGAAAGGCCCTAAGTTCAAACCCCAGTACTGCAAAAAAAAAAAAAAAACCAACAAAAAAACCCCAACAAGGCTAGTTTACTCTATCCTTCAAAACATTACTACCTCAAAAAGGTGACACCTGTAAGTTGACGTTAATAAGGAACAACATACAAAGAGTTACTTCTTAGGTTGACAACAACTAAATGATACCAAACTTATGTTACACACGGTTCTTGTACTACAATACTCAAGTGACATTTTTTGAAAACGTATGCACAGGATACTGATCTAACCACATGTGTGAACTAATTTATGTAATTATTAATGATATACATACCCAAATGATATCTTTATGGTCAGATTTGGATAGACGTAAAACTTAAGCAGGATATCAGATTAGAGTTATAAAAGTTTTGATAAGTTCAAGGTCAGTAATATTAAAATCAACATTTCACTTCTCATTTAAGGTTCCATATCACTTGCTAATAAAAGCAAACAAACAAATAAAACACTGCTAGATTATTCCAGAGATGCTAAAAGCCATTCCAAGAGAAAATCAGAGTGGAAGAAAAACTCCACACCTCAAAGCAGCTTTTACAAATGACCGCTCCTTGCTACACCCTAGGACACCTGGCCATTAATATTTAAAGAGGGCAAAAACCACCTGATAGAGCATGCCTGAGATAGCCTACAGCACTAGATCTCTAGCAGAAGAAGAAACGAGGAGATAGGACCGAGAAAAATACCTCAATGTGAGATTTGTGGGAGGCAGAAAGGAAGGAAAGAGGACTAAACATACAATAAAAGTACCTTCTGTTACATATTTGTTAAACAAAAAATAGCTCCAAACAAACAAGCAAATACTTGTTCAGACAAGTCATCTCACCTGAAGAGTCCTTGCTTGAAAAGATATGCACTAATGTGACCCCCTTCTAGATATCGGATTTCACAACCAGGCCAGATTTCTTGTAGACTTCGAACTCCTGTCCGTGGAATGTAGGCATCTTCTTTGGCTTGTACCACTATAATGAGGCTGGGGTCAACTGGAACTAAGGAAAGGATTTTTACACATTAAAAATCTCTTAAGGTTCTATATAAATACCATAAGCTACATTTGCAAAAGAATATTCAATACAGTAACCAAAACGCTTGTCAAACTCAGTCTTTCAACTGAGTTAAAAATCAACTGCTACACACCACACATTGTAATTAATATTAAGTTACATTACCATAACATTCACCAATGTGATGAAATGGATGTTCTAAAGACAGTCAGTGCATTTTTTACACACATAGATGTAGAGGTTGAACCTAGGGTCTCACACATGCTAAGCACATGCTGTACCACTGAGCTACACTCCGACTCCTCCAATTACTTACTTTTTTTTTTTTTTTTTTTTGAAACCAAGGTCTCGCTATATAGTGCAGACTGGCCTTGAACTCAAGATCCTCCTGAGTGCTGGGATTACAACTGTGCACCACCATGCCTGCCTTACCTATGTGTTTTTGAATGAATAAGATGGTCTTAGGTTTTCATGGATAAAAACGATACATTTAAATGACTCATTTACCTTAGTGAACACATTCTGAAGTCAATAACCTTGCTGAGTGCTGCTGGCTCATGCCCGTAATCCCAGCTACTCAGTAGGCAAAAATCAGAAGGATCGAGGTTCAAAGCCAGCCCAGGCAAATAGTTCTCAAGACCCTATCTCGAAAAAACCCAATATAAAACAGGGCTGGTGGAGTGGCTCAAGTGGTAGCATGCCTGCCTACTAAGCCTAGCAAGCATGAGGCCCTGAGTTCAAACCCTGGTACTACCACCACCCAAAAAAAAGAGAAAATCCTTGAAAATATGAAATTATCTAGTAAAGCACTCTTAAATATATTGAACAAATTTTTACACATCAGCAAATACTCCTATTTCCTATGAAAGTTAGTACCTGAGAAATTTGCTACGTGAGTGCACTCATCCATGACTCCTTTCATAAATATTAAAGACTCTTTCTGAAGATTGTTTCTTTGTTGTTCCTTGCTGAGTGGGTGGCAGGACTGAGGGTTGTAAGTTGTGTAACAACTTTTGTTGATTGAAAGCGTTGTATTCAAGCTCTCTATCTTAGAAGGATCTTGCATCAGGAGTCTTGACATAGCACTGGTCGATGTTTTACTAGAGTCATGGCACTCAGTATGATTTGCGTCAGCTTGGTCAGTCACATCTAAACTTAAAGTTCTGGAAACCAGATTAAGGTTGGATAATTTGTCTACACTGCTAGGGAAGCGTTTCACAAACTCTTGTCCCATTTTGAAAGAATCTGTCTGAAGAAAAGAAGACATTTAATATAGATTAGAGCTTTATTTCACATCATTTTCTCAAATGAAGAAAGGATTAAGCACTCATCAGTGGATAAACAGAACCTGGCATTACTCACATACAGTTGAATATGACTTTTTAGTCATGAAGGAGGAGTACCAGTGGGTCACACCTATAATCCCAGCTACTTGGAAGGCTGAGACTGGGAGGATCAAGGTTTGAGGTTAGCCTGGGGAAACAGTCTGTAAGACCCTATCTCCAAAATAACCTGCGTAAAACAGACTGGAAGTGTGGCTCAAGAAGTAGAGTGCCTGCTTTACAACTGCAAAGCCCTCAGTTTGAGCCCCAGTCCCACAAAAAAAAAAAAAAGAAGAAGAAGAAGGAAGAGAAGTGGGAAAATGGCACACCAGAGTTTCATGGAAAAAAAAAAAGAAGTAATGAAAGTCTTAACAATTTTAAGTTAAAAATGTTAATTCCTTTTTTCCCATTTTGGGGGGTACCAGGGTTTAAACTCAGGCCCCTGCGTTTGCTAGGCAAGCACTCTGCCACTTTAGCCACAACTCCAAGCTGTTTTGCTTTAGGTTTATTTTTCAGATAGGGTCTTATGTTTTTGCCCAGGGCCAACCTACCTATGCCTGCCCCACAGCTGGGATTTCAGGCATGCACCACTATACAAAGCTTGTTGCTGAGACGGAGTCTTTTTGCTTGAGCTGGCTTTGAACTGTGATCCTCCCAGTCTCCACCTCCCAAGTAGCTGGTATTATGGTTATGCACCACCACACCCCGGAATCAAATTCCCTTTTAAGATAAAAGCTATAAGGGCTGGAGGAGTGGCTCAAGTGGTAGAGTTCCTGCCTAGCAAGCAGGAGTCCCTGAGTTCAAACACCAGTACCACCAGTTAAAGAAAAAAAAAAAAAAAAAGATAAAAGCTATAGTATGGATAAGATTGGATACAATATGCCATGTGAATAAGCCAGAGACAAAAGGATAAATATCATACGATCTCACTTGTGTAAGGCTCCTATCATAGACATTTCACAGAGATGGTGTGGGGGGGTGGTTAGGAGAAGGGAGGTATGGGATTCACTGTCCAATGGGTAGAGTTTCAGTTTGGAACATGAAAAAGTCTAGAGATGCATGATGGTGGTCATATAACAGTGTGAGTGTCCTTCATACCACTGAAACCCTTAAAAATGATGAAAATGAACAGCCAAATGCCAGTGGCTCACACCTGTAATCCTAACTACTTGGGAGGCGGAGACTGGGAGGATCATGTTTCAAGGCCAGCCAAGGCAAATAGTTCGTGAGATCCCATCTCCAAAATAATCAGAATAAAATGGACTGGAGGTATGGCTCAAGCAGGAGAGTTCCTGCTTTGTAAACATGAAACCCTGAGTTCAAACACCAGTCCCACCAAAAATAAAACAAAACAAAAAGTGATTAGAATGGTACAATTTATGTTGTATTGATTTACCATGATTTTTAAAAAGGACAAAGAGAAAAGAGATGTCAAAATTTAACTGAGGGCGAAAATAAACAAGTTTATCACTGAGTGCTTCTTACTGAACAGTGACGGGGAATTACTGTGCGTCATGTTTCATTGCCACAGTGTTGAAGTCCACAGTGTGCCTTAACCTCAGAACATCTGTCTTATGCACCTATCCAAGGAAGAATGTAATTAAATAACACATCAGCCACTTCAAATCCCTTCTGAGGGTGAATAACAAGAATCAAAAAATATCAAGAAAAAATACTTTATAAAATCTCAAGAGTATGTTCAAAATTTAAGGACTTATAAAAAAAATTGTTTTTGGTTGTACTAGGGCTTGAATTCAGGGCCTCATGCTTGTTGGGAAGGCACTTAAGCCACTCTGCTAATGTTTTTTTGTGTTGGGTTTTTTTTTTTTTAATTTTGTTTATTTATTTATTTGGTGGTACTGGGGTTTCGAACTCAAGGCTTCACACTTACTAGGCAGGCAGTTTTATTGCTTGAGCTACTTTGCCAGCTATGTTGGGTATTTTTGTCTCGTACTATTTGTCTGGTGCTGGCTTCCAACCTCGATCCTCCTGATCTATGCCTCCTGAGTAGCATTACAGGTGTGAGTCACTAGTGCTCAGCTATGAAACAACTGTTTTTATGGGACTGGGGCTTGAACTCAGGGCCTACACCTTGAGCCCCTACACCAGTCCTTTTTTGTGGGTATCTCAGAACTATTTGCCAGGGCTGACTTCAAACTATGATTCTCCTGATCTCTGCCTGCTGAGTAGCTAGGTTTACAGGTGTGGGCCACTGGCGCCCAGCAGTGAAACAACTTTTTAAAAAGCACAAAAGCACAAGACAAAAAAAATGAGCACAGGATATGCACAGACTACAGACGATGAGACAAAAACTGATCTTAAACTTATAACCCATTTTCACTATTTATTAAAAAAAAAAAAAAAAAACCACAAATTTGAGTGCCTGCTTAGCAAGCGTGAGGCCCTGAGTTCAAGCCTCAGTACTGCAAAAACAAAAACAACCCCCAACCCCCAAACTTGTCAACACACTAAAGAAACACCTTCCTCCTAGTAGTGCAGACGAATACAACAGAATTAGAGAAAATATAACTACATTATAATAGACATACCCTTTGACTTAGTAGTAATTTTCTGGGAATTTACACTTGTACAATGATGTATGTACAAAGTTATACATTGCAGCACTGTTTGTTAATAGTGAAAGATAAGAAAACAACCTAAGTGTCTTCAACAGGATGGTCTATCAGTCCACAGAACAGATTTCGGTAAAAGGATTTGTAAATAATTCCTAAAAAAGAGATAAATGAAGTGTGTATTTGTATTGGTTTGTATATTTACCCAAAATTCCCTGAAACATTAAACAGTAATATAGTTATTGAGGGGATAGGACTAGGTAAATGCAAGAAGGTTAAAAGGGTAGAGATTTTTTTATCTCTCCCTGCCTACCTACCTATACTTTTTTCTTTTGCAGTACTGGCATTCTGAACTCAGGGCCTTATGCTTGCACTCTACAAGCATGAGCTCTTGCTCAGTCCTATCTTTTCATACTTTTTGATGCTTGAACTATATAGCTATATAATCTACCTTGAAAACTAAAAAATTAAAAATTAAAGGCAAGAGAAGTAGAGCACCTGCTTTGCAAGTATAAAGCCCTGGGATCAAACCCTAGTCCCACCAAAAAAATAATTAAAAAAAAAAACAAAAAAACAAAATACCCAACAAACTGGTTACCAACAAATAACTAAAGCCATCTACACTATAAAAATTTAAAAGAGAAAGGAAATTTAGTCAACATTTGAAGATGCATGGATCAAAGGGTTCTAGAATTACTCAGAATGGTACACTAATTATAGCTTCTTTTGATTGGGAAACCTCAAACCATATGTAAGCCATTTTAGCACTCACTGCTGTGACGAGAACTGCTGGGTAAGACTGTGTTGCCATGTCAGACAACTAACATTTAAACTGCCTTTAAAAAAAATGTATAAATTTTCTCAAAGCTTTCAAATGTAGGTACCTTTCTGATTATAGTACAGTAGGACACAAGGAACTACCTAGCAGTAAAGCTATTTTGTAATAAAGTTCTAAAGAAGCAAATAACTGCAAGATAGATCAACCTCACAAGTGTAAGGTTCACAGTGGCATTAATTATAAGTCCTCCAGAAATTTCTGGAGACTCTCAGTAACTTTCAATCTATGCAAAACTTCTATTTACTAAATATATTCTTTCTTTTGTATTACTTTAAATACAGTTTATATTCTGAACTGAAAGTACTTTTTTTTTGAGACAGGGTCTTGCTAGCCCAGTCTGGCCTCAAACTTGATACTTTTGCCTCAGTCTCTCACTTGCTGGGAGTACAAGCGTGTGCCCCCCACACTTTAAAGCAATCTTAATTCAAATCAGCCACTGTTTGGACAACTCATTTCCAGGTCATGTAGAACCACCATTCCCTGTTATAAATGTCAAGTGTATAATTATGCCATTTTTTAATTGTCATATTACTGTCGTACTGTGGATACATTGTGACGTTTACAAAAGTTCTTACAATGTATCATAGTTGAATTTACCCTTGAACATTTTCTTTGTCCTCGCCTCACACTCCCTCCCTGCCATTCCTGGAAGTTTCAACAGGTCTCATTTTTCCATTTACATACATGTGGTACAGTATTTGCACTGTATTCACCCTCCCATGCCCTTTCCCACATCATTCCCCTCCCACTGATACCAACACCCAGATGGGATCTGTTCTGCCTTCCTTATTCTCCATTTTTGTAAAAATGACATTTTTGTCAGTTTCCTTTCCGCACGTGCGTGCGTGTGTGTATTGTATCCCAAATTGGTTCATCTCTATTTTTTTCCTTTCTACCTTAGTTCCCTTCTTATGGTGATTTCAACAGGTTAAAAAATTCTATATTCATTCTTGTATAGACAGTACATCAACCATATTCACCTTCTTAATTTCCTTCTTTTACACCCCCACTTCGTATGTGACCTCCCTTTAGTGTGACCTGTTTTTCATAATATTGCCTGTATTAGTACAAGCATGTGTTTGTGTGTATCTCCCACATCTGAGAGAAAATAAGCCTGGCTTACTTTACTTAACATGATGTCCTCCAATTATATGCACAACTTTTAAATTCATGAAAAGAATTAGTCACTTTTGGAAAGTAATAGGTACTAGCCAATTCATTATCCTGAAAATTCATCCTGCCTCTCCTATGTGAACTAAACTACTAGGAAGTTCTACTACATAAAAATATTCGATAGGTGAAAATAGATCATGCAATTAGTGTATCAGCATTTTGCAATCCTCTTGTTGTGGTTTGGATCTGAAATGTCCACCAAAGGCTCATGTGCTGAAGGCTTGGTGTGCAGTGCAGCAGTGTCAGTGGGGGAAGAGATCAGATGGTGAGGGCTCTGAACTCTGGACTCCTAACTAGGAGGATGTTGGGAGGTGGTGTAAAGTATTCCTATCCCCCCACCAGCCAGCTGCTGTGAGGCAGCAGCTTTTTTGCACGTTCCTGCCACCTTGATGTCCTGCCTCACCTCTTGGCCCGAAGCCAAGAAACATGCACTGATACTATGGTCACCATAAACCCTTCCTCCCTTCAGTTGTTTATCTCAGGTATTTCCTCACAAGGACAAAAAGCTGACCAATAAAGAACATGATCAGAAAAATCTAGATTGTGACAAACCCTGCATGTTCAAACCCCAAGTCTTTAACAAACTCATCATAAGGATGGGCTGGGCATGGAGTAAAAGAAAGGGACGGTGGGAAATTTCTTGATTACAAGACACATTGAAATGCAATGTCTAGGGATGCACGTTTGGACAACATTATTTTAAGACAAAAGGAAGTACTTGCCATACATTGAGTGGTTTTCTGTATGTTTTATTTTAAAATGAAGAGTTTTTCTTTTTTTGATTCAGGGTCTCATTAGGTAGCCCAAGCCAGCCTCAAATGGTGATCCTCCTGCTTTAGTCTATTAGGTGCTGGGATCACAGCCCTGCACTACCATACTTGGCTAAAAATAGTAACTGGACAGCTGTGCTCCAAGGGCTATGACTGGTTGTGGGTGTGGCCATGGACCTCCAACTGCATGCAAGAGCACTCTGGAGGGACTGGCAGCTCAGGTCAGCACAACACCTGTAGCTGCCCCTTGCCTTTTCCATAATATATTAGAAAAAAGAAAAAAATAGTAGCTGGAGGAGTGGTTCAGGTAGGTAGTGCCTGCCTAGCAAACATGAGGTTCTTAGCTCAAACCCCAGCACCACCACAAAACAAAAACAAAAAGTGTCTGTGTTTTAAAATTTGCTGATTTCTTTAAAAACCCGATTCATTAAGTATGCAATGAAACTTCCCCCAGTGTTAGTGGATATTAAAATACTTACTCCACAGTATTCGAGCATGTGAATAATTTCTTCTTCATAGACAGTTTGTGTATAATATTGCTTCTCCAGTTCCCTCCAGTTGATGGATTTACTCAATACACCCTAAAATAATACATTAAGAAAAAAAATCACACCATACTTTGGCCAGTATTTTTATTAATTACCAAGTACAAGAGATTTAAAACAGTAGGCTGAGATTCCCTATCCTTAGCAGCCCTGTTTGTAGAGTTGGCTCTTGAGTAGTCTTGGAACTTGACTTTAAGGGGTCCTTTACAATGATGACAAGAGTGGTCACTGTACCTATGTTGTTTGTATAGCAATGTAAGCACACAACATTCCCATCTGGAACTTTGGTGCCTAACTCACTGTCCCCAGATTAAAAACCCTGCTCTGTTAGGTGCAGTAGATGGATGGCACTTCACATAATTTGGCACAATTTACTGCTGGAGGAACTGAGCACAAATTGAGATTCCAGTGGGTGAGAACTCTTGGACTCTTGAACCTCATGTGTGTTTTCCTTTTGCTACAGTTCTGAGCCATGAGAACAAATATATTATGACTCCTATTATTCTTTCTAGTGCATCACCTAATTTCCAGGTGATTTTTGGGGCCCCAAGACAATTATCTTTAATGATATAGACAGCTATTTAAATTTTAATTGCAATTACATTACCGTAGTGAAGACCCCAGATGCTGTGGACCAAGACAGACAAGGAATCAAGGGCATGGGCTTAGGCCAGTTGGATACTGCCAAGGAGGCCATCTGCAATGTGACAAGTCAGAGAGCTGCTCACTACCATGGAGACTGCTCAGTGCTCAGAAGAACTGTCTGAGCTAAGGACGTGCAGAGATAAGACATGAACACAAGGTCTGTAAAACTGTAGAATGTCTTGTGACTTCATTAAACTCCTCAATCATAAGTTCAACAACAACAAAGAATTTCCCGAGAAAGCAACAAAGTATTATATATATACATACATATATATATATACATATATACACATATACATATATATATATGTATTTTTTTTTAGATAGGGTCTCCCTATGTAGTCCAGGCTATCCTCAAACTCATGATCCTCCTGCCTCTTCCTCCCAAATGCTGGGATTATAGGCATGTACCACCACACCTGGCTTTGAGTAAGTTTTTGAAATTTATAATCAAATGATGTATAGAAAACTTCATCTACTTATTTTTTAAAATATGTGGGGTTACTAACGTGTGGTATGAACCAGAGAAAATTCCTGGCCCTCTGTCACTGAATCAATGGCTTCATAGAGAAAACAGACTATTGGACAAGTAGTTACAGTACAGTGAAAAGTCCTAATCAGAGAAAAGCACAGGCTGGAATGAGAAATTGCTTCTCAAGGAAGAAGCATAGCAGGAAGCAGAAGAGGAGCTGCCACTCTCCAGGTAACAGCATAGAGAGCTCCAGAGGGCAGCAGAGGAGCTTCTGGAAGGCTCTGGTCAGGAGGCAGCAGAGGCCAGATCCAAAAGACTCTTCTAATAATATTACAGAAGGAAAGCTGTGAAGGAAGAGACTGGAGACGGGGAAGACAAGGTGAAATAGGATGGTGGCACCAGGAATGGAGATGAGAGATAAATGCAAACTGAATGTGATCATACACCTTCATCACATGCAGGAAAATGTCATAGTGAAACTCACTGCCAGGTAAAACTAAAGTATGCTTAAAAAAATAAGTGAAAGTATTTTCCAACTCAGCTATTCTGCCCAATTTAATAGCAAAAGTGGCATTTATAATTGACACTTGAAAAGTTAAATTTTATATTCAATTTTTCATAAAATAGTGAATCTGCTGGTGGAGTGGATCAAGTAGTAAGAGCACCTGCCTGGCAAGTGTGAGGCCCTGAGTTCAAGCCCCAGTGCTGCAGAAGAAAAAAATAAAATAGTTAACCTAAAAATCTGGCTATAGCTGTAGGGTTGTACAATAAATATGTCATACAAAAATATTACTTCATGATTGGAGTCATTTCTACTTCCTATTTCTACCAACACTAAAAGTGCTATGCCCCAAGTGAATTGTACACATGAGCAGGTTCCTCAGAGCTCATGGACATGCAATAGTGCAGAGCTTACGTGTCCTCCCATGGATATTCCAGTCATGCCCAGAGGCCCATAGCCTTCCCTCTCCAGCCAGTGCAAGAGAGCTGCAGATTCCAGCACAAGAGCTCCTCCCATCACAAAGAGGTCAGACACGTTTTTTAAGCTGGATCTCCTGACCTCACAAAACAAAACAGAAAACGGTTTATTTTAGGTATTTACGTTTTCATACCTGTGTACTTACAACAGACAGCAAGATTGCATGTTTTTCTTTTGTAGGACCAGATAGTTTAGAAAAATAATGGAATAAACTGATGGGATTTTTTTTATATCAGATACCTAAAACTTCTTAAAAAAATGTGTAACTGGTCTATAGCACAGAATCTTTATTGAATTTCAGTTAGCACTCTTACAAATTTTAAATATTTTTGAGAAATATTTCTATACTATGCTAAAAGGAAAAACAAATTTATAGCTGCCCTTAGAAACTGTTACAATAGAACTAAAGCAAAACTTAAAAAAAAAACCTGTAAATATAATTCAACTTAAAACTAGGTTCATATATTACTGAAATCTTTAATGTTATTTTCAAAATCTACAACTTATTAATATAAATGACTAGAAATATAAACTTTATAAAGAAATATGATTTTATTTTATTTACTTCTTGGCTTTTTTGAGACAAGGTCTTGCTACATAGTCCAGTCTGCCCCTGAAGTCACTATGTAGCCCATGCTGGCCTTAAATTCAAGAACTTTCTGCTTTAGCCTCCCAAGTGCTAGGATTACAGGCATGTGCCACCATGCCTAGTGTGTTTTAATTAATTTAAACAAAGGTCAATTCAACTGGAATTTTCTGTTCTTAGAAACTGACTTTACAAGTTTATTTCCTTATTAGAAGTACTTAAATACATCTTTTTAGACCTCAGAACCATCCTTATATAGTAATATAAAAATACTATTTTATTACTAAAGGGACCTAATTACTATCTATTTTTAAAATTTTAATTTGCATAAAGACATACTGACATAACTGGCTACTGGATAAAATGTTGTCCAAGTGTACAAAATCCATTTTATTAATGATCATGTATTGTATCCCTACTTGTAATAATTATGTGCAAACAAGCAGATGCCACAAGGACTGCCAACGTGAAAACTAAATCTTGCCCTCAAAGGCTTTATGTCCACTGTCTATGAGCCTGAAGAGCTCCAGGTCCAGGAGGTGAGGCTTCTCTGTATGAAAACTATGCTCTTCCCCTGTCAAAATAATCACATGCTTCATCAGAAAAGACCCCACTTTATCTGTTTCCCAGCCTCAAGCCAATGTTCTACATCCAATTACCAAACTGTCCTCATTATTTCTGTCTTGAATTCCCAGGTCCCCACCCCCACCTGTTTATTCTTTCCCATAGAAGATATCATGTAAGGTTGTGGGACAGTGTTTCTGTTCTGCTTTATTTTGTTGCAGTTTGAACTCAGGGCCTTGTGCTTGCTAAGCAGGTGTCTATCACTTGAGCCATGCCACAGCCCAAGGGACAGTGGTGATTTATGATGGACCCAGGCCATTTTTGATGAAAATAAACTTAAGATGACAGCTTTTTTTTTTTTTTTTTAAGACAGAAAGGCTGGATATGGTGTGGCATGACCATAATCCCACGTACTCAGGAGGCTGAGGCAGGAGGATTGCAAGTTCAAAGTCAGCTGGGCAATTCAGCAAGACCCTGTCTCAAAATAAAATAAAAAACTGGATGGGGATGTAGCTCAGAGTAGAGTGCTTGCCTCACATGTGTGGGCCCTGGGCTAAATCCTCAGAACACAAAAACAAACAAACAAAAAACTAGAGAGAAGCAAAATTTGGTATAGATTGCAAAGATGAAGGAGGAGTATACTTACACTTGGTCCTTGGGTTTCCTGCAGCCATTTACGAATGTGGGTCAAGAGAAAGTTTTAAAGAAATTAAATATACTTTTGTCTCAAAGCACAATTCACTTAAGAAAACAGCTAACTCTGAACACAATTTAACAGTGAAATAACTGCTTTCTAGTTACCTCAACAGGTTGTTTAGAAGTTCTCAGGTTTTTCAACTTAATTGCTTCTAATTTACATAGCTTTCTTGATATAATCGTATACCAGATAATTCACCATTTGAAATGTACAAATTAGTCAGGGTTGTACAATCTTCAACTTAAATTGAAGTTTATCGATATAGTTTTAATTTATATCATTATGTTTATTATAGAAACCCAGAAATTATAGAAAGGGAATTAGAAGAAAAACTACAGACAACCATTCTAACATTTTTGCACATTTTTCCAATATTTTTCCTTATGCACAGTTTTTGTTTTGGATATGTTTGTTTTTGTTTTGCTGCATGGCTGTATCAGGCCATTTGGTTTTGTTTTGTATTGGTATGATTTGGTTTCTGGTGCTAAGGACTGAAACCACGGCCTTGTGCACACTAAGCACATATTCTACCACTGAGACTGCACTGGTTCTATTTATATCCTATTTTTGCATCATACTTTTCACACTATTGTAAATTTTAAATAACAGCTTAAACTCACTGAATGCCTAATATTTACCAAGTATTACTCTAGATGGTATTTAATATTCTAAATAACCTATGAGATTACTCATATTTCCTGCTGAGAAACAGGAAAAAACAGCTAACAGGTCCAAGATCACAAAGGTACTTAGTGATAGGGCCAAATAACATGACCAACTGTATAAATTCCAATGTTATGAACCAGTTTACTCAACTGTTTCTCTATTATACATATTTATTTCTAATGCCTTACTTTTACAAGTAAAGCTATGTAAATAGGACTTTTACTATCAATTTCTTCTGTCTTAGTATGTTATTTTTAGAATAAACTTCCCAGAATCAAAATCACTATTAAGGGATGTGAGTATGGGGGTATTTTTTTTTTTTTCCCTTTGTGGTGCTGGGGATCAAACTCAGAGCCTCACATGCTAGGCAAGCCTTCTACCCGAGTCATGCTGCAGTCCAGATGTGAGAGGTCTTCAGGCTCTGATACATACTTTAGTGAAGAGTTTAATTTTCAGACCAGTATGAAGAGTGCCCATTTCACAGTAGCCTCCCCAGTGCCATTTATTTTTAAAGTAATTGGTAACTGTTTTAACTACATTTCTCTTATTACCACCAATGCTGAGCATTTCTTTATACCTGGGCATCAGTTTCTTTTCTTCTTCAGTCAGTAGAGTCTGACGTCATCTTGAAAGTTGGTTAAGTACAGTTCTAAACCTCCACCTTTACATAAATGCATTTAAAATAGGAATACTTCTTTAACAGCAAATACTTATTAGAATTAAAATCCAACATAAGTATCTCAAGAAATAGAGGTACAATTTATCTTCATTATACAATTGGAGTATAATCCTCCAGTCAGATTTTTTTTTTCTTTCTGAAACAAGGTCTTCCTTTGTAGCCCAGGCTACAAACTCACTATGCTCCTGTATCAGCCTCTTGAGATACAGAAGTGGGTTACCATGTTGGGCTCCTATTGTAGTTAAGAAGTATAAAATAATCTTCTACTCCTTTTCATTCTTGATTCTTAAACATTTTCTGAACTGATGACTGAATTTAACTGGTAAGGAAAAGTTAGTTACTACCTATCATTCACTCCTTTTGATAAGTAATTATGTGAGTAGATAAGAGAAAATATTTCTTAGATATCACAAAAGGATATAATAAGGGTTTTCTAACAACAAAGAAGCCATCCGGGCTTCTTTAATCATAGGACGGGCCATCAATGTTCGTCGCCTCCAGTAATGCTAAGGAAAGAAAAGATAGCATGCGTAAAAGAAAAGTACATTAACAAGTTATCTAGGGTTCAAGCACTGCAATGAAGTCTTACATGGTCTCCTGTTCCAGCAAGATGAATGCATACAGGTCTATATTTGCTGTTCCATTCTTTAGGCACAATAAATTGGAACCTATTGAAAGATAAGCAATGAAATTCTCTTTAAAAGTCTTTCAATGCAAACTTTTTTTGTTTGTTTTCTTGAGACTGGGTCTCACCATGTAGCCCAGGCTGGCCTCGAACTCAACATCCTCCTGCCTCAAGACTCCTGAGTACTGAGATTATAGGCACACACCACTCTAAATTTATGCCTGGTTCTAAACTCTCAATTCTTAACACTGTAACTAAATTATTTTGGAGAAAATATCATGTAAAATTTTGACAATTTATAATGGATTAAAATATCGCGTGTTCAAAAGCTACAAAGATATTGTGGATTTGCTTTCTGTCAGGATATTAAAATATTCAACACAACATAAACAGAATTTATCATAATTATTGTTTACCTACGTCAACACCACAAGTTTATAAATACATAACTAAATTTTCTTATTCTATGGAGACATCAACATGTATGATAATCTTAATGGTTAATTCTTTAGATACGGTTTTGCCTCTCTCTTTGCAGGAGAAATGCTTGGTTGTATAAGCTGTTGATATATCAAAAAAACCTTATATTTTTGTTTTTTAGTGTGCAATATATGATAGGATTTGATTCATTACAATTTTAGTACTTGGAGGTAAGGTCAATCCATGCCAGGAAAAAAAAAAAAAGCACACAGTTTTCTCTATTTGTCTTTTTATTATTTAATGTTTTTTTTTCCTACGTGACTTGTTATTTTTATTGTAGTAAAATACACATAACAAAATTTACCATTTTAAGTATACAATTCAATGGCATTAACTACATTTACAGGATTGTGCAACCATTACTACCATCCATCTTCAGAAATTTTTCACTTCCTGGACTATTTACTTCTCTTTAATTTCCTTAGCAATTGAATTTAAGAGTTGCTGTCATAAAATATTACAGTCATCAGCTCAAGGTGTGAGTTGAGGTGGCTGTGTTCTCAAGCAACATAAAGCCTCAATCCTCAGCTTACTCTGCTTGAACAGAAGGGGCACTTTCACTACTTCTCTCTGGTGGATAAATTGCTGAACAGAACAGACAAGTGCATTTCAATGATCTTTTGTTTTGTGCTACTGGAAGTCAATTTTCAATGTCATAATCAGAACTACCAATGTTAACTAACATCCCTGCTTCATTGTGCATTCTCTGCATTGTCCTATTTCTGATATTTTAAAGATTGGAAGGTAATAAAAACATTTAAGAATTTCGGTAGAAAGCTGGACATCTCTGCTATTATTTGTAGGTATAGTTACTTTGTTACTGGAATCTTTTATTATAGTACTAACAGACCACCCATCTTGTAAAGGCTCATTATCAGTTTTTCTGCTCTTTCCCAGTGTCCCAGGATGTATGGGCAGAACAGGTGTTTGGGCCCAGGTGTAGGAAAAATTTGGACAATGTGTTGTGGGAAGAATGTTGCTTCTATACAAACAAGTCAGGGATAGTGAGAGAAAATGCGAGCCAATTACTAGAGAGGATCAAGGCAAGGGAAAGAAACAAGGAAACATTCTGGAACACAGGATGGAAGAGCTGGGCCTCATGGGTAGCCCCCCTGGTGGGCCCACTTACTGTGCTCCTTATGCTATTACTCTTAGGGCCTTGTGTGATAAACCTCCTCACCAGGTTCATTTGCAACTGGGTGAATGTTGTTAGATTGCAATTAGTGAGGCAATATCAAAGACTGCCTCTAGATGACTCCCCCAAAATGATCATAAGGGATTATGAAGAGAAAGAGGAGGGAATGATAAAGAAACCCAGGGGAAAGATCTGAAGTCATGCTCCCTCCCCCTGCCAGGCCCCAGTTTCACAGATGTGCTCCCTCCCCTGGCCGGGCTGGTTTCACAGATGTGTTAGTGTGGTATGCTGTAACCTTGTGCCAATATGATATGTTGTAACCTCCTAGCGAGATGCTAACTGCCACGTTTGCTTTTGTTCTTCCCGCTTGCTTGCTTCAGCATTCTGAGGCATAAAAACCCTGCAGCTCAAGGTCGGTGCCATTTTTGGAGAGATCCAGGGTACTGGCCTGCTAGTACCCTGGATCCTCCAACCACCTGGGTTTGAGTCTTGTTCTCGCTGGTCCAACATTCTACCCACAACAAATGAATTTTGCTCCTTAGGTAATGTGGAATTGGGACAGATGATAGTTACGTTCTGTTGAACTTTTCGATATGGAAGCTGTATAGGGTGGTTATAGTTATATTTTATCCGCTTCCATGAGAAGTGAGAAAGGCAGGCAGCCTACCCATGACATAGATATGGAACAGAAAGCAGAAACAAGAGAATGTGAAACAAGGAAGAAGGTGAGGTAAGGGAAGTATTTCATTGGGTCTTTAATTTTTTGTGTGTATTTATTTGTGCCTTTTATTTATTAATTTTATTACTGAACGGGGCTTCATTGTGATATGTCCATTCATGTCTCCTTGGATATTGATGGCATCACATTTCCTCCTTACAAAATGTGTGAAGGTAGAAAAGGGGACATAGTTGACTGAAGAAATTCACTCCTCCCCACTCCCCCTTACTAGAGTAAGAAGTAATGGCTGATGACATCTAAAGGTTTTTCAATACCAAGAATCTCTGATTCTAAGCAGTAAGAGATGAGCTGATGATAGCACAAATAGGGGAAGGAAACAATAAATAGATGTTAACCATACCAAACTTCCAACATGTTTTGGACATGTGCAATTTTTAATAACACAACTTTATTGAATAAGCCTTATATGCTAAGGTGAGTATAAAATCTTTTGACTCAACAGTTAAGAGTAACAGTTAAGTACAGATATAAAAATAGCTACAGCAGATGTAGAAGCTATTTTGGTTCTTAAGGACCAAAACCACAAGAGACTCTGAACTGAGAATGTGGAGGGGATTTTGTGCAGAAATCAAGGTAACTAAATAAAGGGCTTGTTTATTTACACAAGGTGTTACCCTTGTAATAAAACTAGAGGGCTGTTCTCTAAGGAGACTGAAATATCTGCCCAGGAAAAGCGAGGGTCCCTAGCATGGGCATTTGTGTTTAGGATAAAACCTTCTTGTTCTGACAGTTCTGCTTCCCTCCCACCTGTACACAGTAAAAATGAAGCTTGCCAGGTGACATACACTTCTTAGATACTAAGAACCAGCCAGGAGAAAGGAATTTCACACAGTAGAGAAACCCAATTCTCCATCCGTAAGTATTAATGAACAAGTAAAGGCCTTCCATTTAAAAGAAAGTGCAGGGGGGAGGTAGAGATGGACAAACAGAAAAACTGACCTCTTGAAGGTGATAACAGATTAATCAGGAAAAAAAACAGTGATCTGTATTTGAAATGGGTGGATTTTTACAGGTAAAATATACCTCAATAAATTGTGTAAAAATTAAAATATACAAATTCTTTTAATTTGTATCCTTCACAAAAATGCAAACTTCCAAATAGTAGGAAGTTTTTTAGAAAAAAAAGTAAGTTAAAGAAAAAAAAGGTCCTAGAAAAATATGATAGCAACTTTTCTATCTCCTCTGTTCCTTTTTTTATCTTTAAAATCCTTTCCTACCCTCTTTTGGATTAATTGGGCTTTGTTGGTGGTGTTGCTTTGTCACTGCTGTTGTTTTGAGGTCTGTTGTGAGATAAAGGCTCACTAAATAGCCCAGGCTGGCTTTGAACTCAAGATCCTTCTGCCTTTACCTCCTGAATGGTGGGAATAGAAGCGTACATCACTGAGCCCAACTAATAGATTTCTTTTCTTTCTTTTTGTGGTACAGGGGATTGAACTCAGGGCCTACACCTTGAGCCACTCTACCAGGCCTGCTGGGGATGGGTTTTTTTCGAGATAGGTTCTTGTGAACTATTTGCCTGGGCTGGCTTTGAACCTTGATCCTCCTGATCTCTGCCTCTTGAGTAGATAATATTATAGGTGTGAGCCAGCACACCCAGCTATTCTACTCAATCTCCTCCTACTAACCATTCTCTGTCTCTCTGGTTAGTTGCTCTAGGGTTTACAATGTACATCTTAACAGAGTTTATATTATTTATATTAATTTTTACAGTGATCAAGTACTGAATGTGAGGGCTAGAAGAAAAATGTCAAAACACTCTCTAAGGTATAAAACAAAAATTCAAAGAAAAATTATGAGGGAAAGAGTCAAAAAATATAGAGACAAAAGGGGAGAAGAAATAGTTGCAAAACAGATGAAGCACTAAGCTACAAGGCCTTTTGTAGTCACATAATAAAATGTAAATACAGTGTAAATCGTCTATAATGTAAAGTCATGGAAGTGTACGAGGAGAGGCAGAGAGAAGTATAGAAGCACTAATTTTCTTATTTTTTGTTAATCAAGATGATGTTTTTTGCTTGTTTATTTGAGAAAGGGTCTCCCTATGTAGTCCTTAATGCAGTTATTGACATGACTGGATTTAAATCTATCACCTTGCCATTTTCTTTTTTTTTTTGTCCTGACCCATTAGCCCCCTTCCTCACCCAGGCTAGGGGATCTGCCACTGAGCTCCACCCCACCCCTTGTTCCTTTTTAACTTTTAACTTTTTCCTTTTAGCCATAGCCCTCCCCTCTTTGTGGGCATTATACTCATTTTTTTAAAAGTATGTATTCTTACTTAAACAAGTCTGCACATACTGAACTCCTTCAACTTTCAGTGAACAGTTGTGCTAATTATTTCCACAGCTGCATGACTGCTTTGCTTTGGATTCTGGACTCTAAAAGCACAGTATTTCCTTCCAGTAATTATTTAAAAGATTTAAAAAGTTCTAGAGTATGTAAATTATCATAGTGGCAAACAATATTGAAGACAAACTACAGAATGAGACAATTTATATAATTTAAATGTAACATTCCTAGGTTACTAGAATAAAGATAAGTACTTTATCTTATCTTCTTTGTGTGTGTTTTCCTTTGGGGGTATGTTAATAACTACATTTGCAAAGAAGAGGACAGTGAGGGAAAAAAGACCAGTAGACAAAGGAGACCATGTCAAAGGAAGCTGAAAAGAGGTAAGAGGAAGTGAAATAAA